AGGCGATTAAGATCGGGGAAATGGTAGAAAATGGTTTGAAAATGGGCAGGAGTTTGAGTCAGTCGGCCATCAGAGCAACCTCCCAAGCCATCCAAGGCAGGTTTGGAGGAATGGACAAAGGTAATAAGAAAGAAGAAACGGTTATGAGAGCCTCAGGGGCAAGGAGACATCACGCTCCCAGACCCATGTTTTCGGACAGAACCCCTCAACATTACTACACTCATCACGATATGGCTTATGCCCCTCCACCTTATGCGGTCATGAACGCTCAACCCTTCGGCCGGCCGCAGCCACATGCCAACAGAAATCAACCTCCATTCCCAAGAAATCAGCCTCCCTACCAGAACCACTATAATCCTCGACCTCCACAGAATAACTTCCGTCCTCGGGAACCACCCAGGAGACCAAACTTTACCCCAATTGGTGAATCTTACTCTAGTCTATTCCCGAAACTTGTCCAAATGGGTCTGCTGCAGCCGGTCCCTCAGAACAGACAAAACCCGGCATCGCCTGCCTACAGAGCTGGTGTCAGGTGTGCATACCATTCAGGGGCAGAGGGCCATCATACAAATGACTGTTGGACTCTGAAACAAGCGGTGGAGAACTTAATAGAGCAAGGGAAAATTGTGTTGAAGGATGAGGATGTCCCAAATGTGACCAATAATCCGCTGCCCGCTCGCAACAACGGGCCAGTAATCGGGATGATTTATGAAGATAGGGAGTTTGATCCAGCCTTAAAAGCTATAATTGCTATCGCTGATGCGGAAAGAAAGCCCGAGGTGGCCCCAAAGCAAGATAAAGGAGAGAAGACAAGCAAGATCACCAAGACAGAACCAGAAAAGAAAGCTGATTTGAAAGGAACACAAATGTACGTACCCAAGCAAGCCTATGTGGTGCGGGGGACAATCAAACCACCTCGGCTGAGTGAGCCAATGGTTATTGGACGCGTACCACAGAAGCCTATGATGAACCCTGCTGCGGTACTATGGAATTATCATCAGACGGTGGTTACGTACAAGGGTAAAGAGATCTTGGGAGAGCTGCTTGAAAACCCCCCTGTTGAGAAGTATTCAAATGTAGAGGAGGTAAACAATGCCACCGGAAGGCGTTTCCCGCCTAAGAAGCCTGTGAGTGCTGAGGAAGTAGAAGTGTTCTTTCAAAAAATGAAAATGGCCGATTATGAGGTGGTACATTTGTATGAAGCTTTTGTCAAGCCTAAGTACAGTAAAGAGGAAGATGATAAGGTTCTCACGGCTGAAGAAATTGAGGAAATACGTGGGGCAATGAGGAAAATGCTCTACGAAACCCACATGGTCCAGCCGGGAGAAGGCTAGCATTGCTGAGGTGCTATACATGGGACCAAGCGCCAAGCTTCAAAACTGGAAGGCTACGCCATTCCCGATCAGGCGGGAGTCCCGGTAAACTAGCCCTGCCACTTTTTCTGCATCCCGAGTTATTTCAGGGTGTAACTCGGATGTTTCCTGTAGTTTCTTGTCTTTAAATTCCAGAATGTGAACCCTGTTATCTTCAAAATTCCAAAAAATGAAATCAAAACTTCTTCGTTCATTTTTCTTTCTGATATTGCTATTTTTCTCCTTCATTTTCTTCTCTTTAGTTCTAATAATGCAGCTTTAAATAACATGACATGCTTGCTGACTTCATGCCTAGATCCCGAAACGCTGTCAGATTTTGAAATAATGAATCAAAAGTCGAAATGCAAAGAAGGTAACCTTGAGGAAATAAAACAAAGAGTTGGAACAACTGAAGGAAAATTAGTTCGCACATTACAACAAGAGAGTGTGCTGTACTCAGGGAATATCCGGGCAGTTGTACCAACAAAGAACGGCCCATTCTACAACAAGAAAGTGCGGCCCAGGAATCTTGAAATAGGACAGCTGGTGTTAAGACGCATTCTTCCTCATCATCAGGAAGCAAAAGGAAAACTTGTTCTTAATTGGAAGGGTCCATACATAATCCGGAAGATATTGCCAAGAGGAGCACTGTATCTGGGAGACATCGAAGGGAATGATCCTGAGACAGCAGTCAATGTAGATGCAGTGAAAAGGTACTATGTCTAGACCTCCTGTGGCGATGGCTTTTGTGTAATTGAGATGACGAAGGCTTTCTTTTCCGCTACCCCAAACACTATCAATCCTTCATAAACCCTTTGAGCCGGTCACGCTTCTTTGGTTACCCTCTTTGGAACCCGAAAATACAAAAAGAAAAGAAAAGAAAAAGAAAAGAAAAGAAAAGAAAAGAAAAAGAAAAGAAAAAAAAAAGAAAAGAAAAAAAAAGAGAAAAAAAAAAGAAAAACAAAACAAAAACAAAAACAAAAATTATTTCCCTGAACTACGTTTGACTTGATTTCGAAAGGATACGTAGGCAGCCTCTCCCTGAGGTTCAGTCACACCAAAACAAAAATCCCAATTTCCCCAAAAACTGAAACTGGGGCAGATGATATGATGGTTTGGCTATGAATCCTCCGAAACGGTTCCAAAGTTGTAGTTCCGCCCAAAAACCTTTTTACCCAAAGACCTTGTCCAAGTCCTTCCGATCAATTGCAAAGGCAGGGAAGTGAAAGAACATCATTGTCGGAGTCCGGTGCAATTCAAATTGAGAGAAATAAAATGAGAGAGTCTTATCGGTGAAAACCTTCGGGCACCATAAGGCGATGGTGAGTAGAGAAAATGAAAACGAGAGAGTCCGCTTAGTGAAAACTCGCAAAGAGCACTATCGGACGACGGTGAGAAGAGAAACGAGAGAGGTCGACTGGCGAAAACCCGCAAAGGGCGTTGTCGGCCGAAAAGAAGGCATCTCACCACTAAAAGAGTCCTGGCAATGCCCCCTGGTTGTGAAAGGCGAATCAATGGGTTCACGAGAAGTTGGAAAGCTTGTGTGGGTCAGGCGTCCAGTCCAAGAAGCATGTCATGTTCATTTGAAGCCAGCATGCGCACCCCAGATAAGTCTTTCTTTTCCCCCGAAAGGGACGCTTCTCTTTAAAATCATATGCTTGCCTTTTGCATACTTTTTCTTTGAATCCCTTTCGGTTTAACTCTGACTCCGTAACTAGTACAAAGAAAAGGTGGCAGGACCGGCTTCACAGGGCTCCACCTGGTCAGAGTCGAAGAAAATACCCAGCCTCAGCGAGTGCGTCAGGCCAATCCCGACTGACCATGGTGGTTGATGCTTTCAAAGCAAAAACACTGGAAAAGAAAGAAAGTCAAAGGCAAAGGTCCTAAGAACATAATAAAGTGAAAAGGCTAGAGCCCACACGGGCGAGTCATCATGAAGTCCTAAGGTTGAACCCGGTCGGTTTGAAAAGAGATTCACCCTCAAGGCAAACGAGCAGCAAAGGTCTCAACGGAAATGGGGTCGGGATCAAGCAATTGGGATGATCAAGGCCACAAAAACAACCACCGTTTCAAACGAACAAATTGTTCTTTGTTGAAAACAGGTCTAATTCAAAGCAACCATGAAAGAAGCAGGTGCAACCCAAAAGAAATGAAATGCGCAAGCGCTGAAACAGCTTTGCAGCAGGAAAACGACCAAAAGGAAGTTTCCCTTTCCCAAATTCTTTCATGTGTTTTGCTAAATAAAAGGAAAACATATAAAGAGGAAAACAAAAGAAAAGAAAGAAGAAAGGAAATAAAAATGAAAATACCAAAAGAAAACAAATCATGGTAGCATAGGATCCCATTCCTTAAATATTCCGGCCAAAAATCGAGGATCTCCCGGCCAAAAAACCGAGGAGCTTTTTCTTTCCAAATCCCGGCCAAAAAACCGAGGATCTCCGCCAAAACTACGAGAGCTTTCTTCAATCCGCAAAACCGAGAGTCTCCGCNTCAACTTTCCAGAATCTTTCACCTCTAACAGGCTACAGTTTGTGCTGATACACCAACTGCCAGGCTTGTTTGGAATACCACCAGTGAATCCCAAGTGTTGGGTCTTGTTTCTTATATAAGAATGCCCTGATAGCATGAGCACAAGGGATTCCAAACAAGTCCCAAAGCCTGCATGTGCACCTTTGTTGCTCCAGAATCACTGTGTGCCTGTCTTCACCTTCACTTATTTCAAAACCCCTTTCTCCATTAAAATTTTCCTTGCACTTTGAAGCCATCTCTCTATAATCATTGTATAACTCCATTGCATGTGGGTTGTATTCACCTCTCCAACTGTTAACTTCTTCTTCTCTATCCTTTAATTGATTTATCACCTTCAATAGTTAATCAGTAACATAGTAAATCAGTAGTTAATCAACAGTATGAAATCAGTTACATAGTAATTAGTCAACAGTAGTAAATCAGTAGTTAATCAACAGTATTAAATCAGTAAACAAGCAGTTAGTCAAAGTAGTTAACTTCACCTTCACTCTTATATCCTCAAGCATCTTCACTATTGGCTTATGTCTAGCTTCAAGAATCCAAGAGTTGAAGGACTCTGTAAAGTTGTTGTCCACCATTGGATTCTTACATTGGGTATCAAAGTAAGCTCTACACCAGGTTACTGGAGGATAATTCAGCAAGTCCCTGACAGCATCCTCAGAAACTTCACCTAACTGTTTTAACATGTCCTTAAATTCTCCTCATATGTGCACCAAGAACACCACTACATTAACTTTTTCATCTCATCAGTATTCCATTGTTTGCTCCAATTTGCTTCAATATGCCTTGCACAATATCTGTGATATGATTGTGGACATACATTCCTCACAGCATCTAACAGACCCTACACATAAAGAAACACTACATCAACAAAGAACGTGCTAAATGTAAAAATCTACATATGGTAACATACATTCTGCATATCTGACATGAATGTGTACCCTTCACCATCTTTCAAGTCCAAAGAAGCCTTCAAGTTCTCCATGAACCACTGCCATGTTGTCTTTGTTTCCTTATCCACTACAGCCCAAGCTAGTGGATAAAAATGCTTGCAAGAATCTTGAGAACAGGCAACTAACAACATCCCTTTGCATTTTCCTTTTAAAAATGTTCCATCTAGACCTATAAAAGGTCTCAAACCTGCTTTGAATCCACTCTTGCGGGCCTGGAAACTGACATACATCCTCAAAAATCTTCTCTTACCTTCCTCCATTGCATCCTTGGATATCTGTATCACCACATCAGTACCAGGGTTTGTTTCTCTCAACTCTTGAGCATATGCCTCCAATTTGTTATACTCATCCAAGTAAGAACCCTCCAATTTCTCTAAAACCATTCTCTTTACCCTTTTTAGCTTTGAGTCACTCACATTCAAACTAAATCTATCCTCTAAATCAACCTTCATCTCTTTAATCTTAAACTTAGGATTATTTTGAATCTTTCTCTTAAAATAATGTGCTAAAGCAACAGGAGTAGCTCTTCTGTTCTCAAAGACTTCACCACAGTCATGTTCATCCCTCCAAGTTTTTATCTTTACCCCTTGATCTTTGCCATCCTTAGAAATAAGACATTTAAAGGGATACCCTATCTGACACTTGTATCTAAGTCTTCTCTTATCACTCTTATCTACCTTAAGGCCCCTCTTATTAGACACGGCATAATAACCAATAACCTCCTTAGCTTCAGCAAGATATTTGAAAGTCATACCCTTTTCCAATGTTTTATACCTATCAAGGTTGCCAGTTACCTCACACTTCTTCTGCCTCTCAAATAAACCTAGGGCATCACTATCATAATCACTATCAACACTTTCAATATCTGTATCATCTTCAGTACTATCACAGTCAAAAGCTACAACAACAGGTACACTATCTATTGCTGCTGTATACTGGGTAAATACAGGAACATTTACAGTATCATCCAACAGGTCAACACCAAATAATTGTACATTAGTGAAACCATCATTAATTAGGGCTTGAATCTTCCTAATCCCTTCATCCCATCTAACAAAAGATACCTCCTAGAAGGGTCAAGAAATATCAGCTGTTGTACCTCAACATATCCTATCACTTCAGTGTAGTCTTTACACAAATCAATATAAGAGAGATGGTCTACTTCATAACCACTCAACACGTGCACATCTCTCTTAGTATAAGACAACGTAGGTTCCAGTACCTACTCACCCCCATAATTAAAATATAAGTTCACTTTATCCACCATCCTTCTGATAAAATCACATGCAACAACAATAAAAAAGGGCAAAATGGGACCACATCAGCAGTATAATACAAAGCGACAGTAAAAATATAAAGATATGAAACCCCACCATCAATTAAATATACAAATCGACAAAAAATATAGCTTTAATATGTAGGACCAATACGATAAGGACCACCAAAAATAAAAGTAACATAAAAAATTCTAGAAAGGTACAAAAAATAGCTCACAAAACATAAAAATATCACATGCAGCAGACATAACCTGTCAGTTCCCAAATATTCCCCAACCCTACAATTTAATAACTTTAAGCTGTAAATACTTACTTTAATCGAATAATAATGCAAGATATCGCTGGAAATCAAAGGTCATCCTATTTTGAGCGCACCAAATCGGACCAGACAATGAACCCTAACGAAGCCCTAAAATTGCCATTGATAGTTTAGATAGAAGAAATGAGAGAAATGGTAAAAAGTAAGTATTTTGTCGGTGGGTTTAGGGTTAAAAGACTTACCCATAGGTAAAATAAATGGATCGGATCGGTTTAATGGGTAAAACAATACCCAAATATAATGGGGCTACTTTCATTTATAGCACACTATTAAAAATATAATACAAAAGATTAGCATTAATTAATGATTAACAAATATGGCAGTAAAATATTTATACATATGTGAGTACGTGATTTTTGCCGCGCTCAAATATTCCTATAAAATTCATTAGAATTAGGATTTTTCTTTGAATTTTAGGGATTAATTGCATGATTTTGTGTTTTGTTTGCATTTTTTGTGTGCATTTTTAATTGATAAATCAGATAAAAATACAAAATTGCATGAACATTTAGAAATTAATTTTTACATTTTTTAGATTAACTACTGACTAGGTTTTTTACAAATATAAGAAAAGTCAGAAAGAAACTTCGATTTGCTTTGTTGATTTTAATTTTAGTTTTTAAGTTTGTTAATTTCTTTTAAATTGATATTAGATTAATTGTAGCTTAATTAGGTGTTTGAATTAATGGTGAGGGTTTAATATTAGTTTAAAAAATTAAAAACAAAAGAAGGAGAATAAAAAATAAAAATAAAAAAAAAGAGGAAAGAGAATAAATAAAAGATTTGAAAAGGGAATGCAAAATCAGGCCACCATTGTGGGCCAATTCTTGATCCAGCCCAATTGAAACAAGACCCCTGAATGACCTAAACCCATAGCCCAGTCCGGTATGGCCTGCCCCGTCCCAAAACGACCCCGTTTCCTCAAGTTTTAATCGCAGCCCTTGATCTTCCTCATCCAACGGATGAGAACTGACGATGTTTCTTGATATATATATGTCCTAACGGACCCTACCCCCTCAGACCCCCCTTACCCTCTTATCTCTCTCATCTTTAACCTAGAGACTCTCAGGCCACCGCTTTCCGCCGTTGTCCGCTGCCGGAAATCGCCTACGGCAGCGGCCGGTGTCCAATGACACCCAAACTTACACCCCTATACCATCTCAACCCCCTCGTTACAAATCCACCCTTGTTTTCTTTCGAATCCCAACCAAACACCTCAAATATTCCAAACCCTAGGCGCTGCCGCCCCCCAAAACCTACCAAATTCACACCCCACACTCCCCTCACCCTCCTTTACCTAAACCCCTAAACCATTTTTCCCAAATCCAACCGGAACTTGTAAAATTTTAGATCTAGGGTTTATGAGAGACTGCTGGATTTTTTAAAGACTGTCCAAAGATCGTTTTGAGTTCCTAAATAACCTGATACGTTTGTTCTCACCAAGAACGAACGTATAATGTTATTTGGGGGCTCAATCCGAATTCAATTCATTGAAGACCATATCCGTGAGTTTCTGTTCTTTTCTTTCTTCCTCGTTTATTCTTCTTCTTTCGATTGATTTTGTTATCATAATTTTTGATTTCTAATTTAATTTTCGTTTTGGTTGATTCTGCCTACATGATTTCTGATTTTTAGTTAATTTTGTTTTAATTTTTGATGTTGTGCGATTCATATTTTGAGTTTGTGCATGATTATATGTTGACATGAATTCTACTTTAGTTTCCATTTTTACTTGTTAGTTAATTGTTAATTCATTGTTTTGACCTTAGGATATTAGTGTTCATTAAAGTTAAAGTCCAATTTCAATTAATTAGATTGGTTCAATTTTAAACTCTGTTTGGTTATAGCTGAAAATTTGTTTGTGTTAATTAGAATTTGTAGATGTTCTTATTAGTTTGTTTGGATATAGTTGAACCAGGATTGTTTGCTTCAATTATAGTAAACGGGTTGGGTTTAGTTGACATAGGGTTAGTAATTTCAGGGGTGGTTAGGGGTATTGTGGACATTTAAAATAGGTTAGAATACTCTAGATTAAGATAGAATTCCCTAGAATCTTCTAGAATAGGGCCTTAGCTATAATTTCAAGAACTTAGGATAATAACTTAGGCAACAAGTCAAAATTCTAAGGACTAACTAAGCAAAAATTTGAAAATAAAAGAGGGACTTAGGGGTAAAGTGAAAATCTGAAGGCAACCCTAATTTTGCCTATAAAAGGGCATTGCCTTGCCTTACAATACAAGTTTTGAAATCTGAAAAATTCCTACAAATTCTAGAAGCATTAGAGATTCAAAAACTCTGAAGATTTTGAAATTCAAATCCCAAATCTTAGAAAAACAGAAAGAAAACCCAAAAAAAAGGTTTCAAAGACTCGAAAGCTACTGAAAATTACTAAAAATCCAGAAATCATTACTGTTCCATTGAAGTTTTTCTGAGAATTTCATGTTCAAAAACTCCTGAAGTCATTACTGTTTCATCTAAATCACTGTTGTTCTATTTGCTGGATTGATTTTATATCTCAAAGGCTCACTGCTGGGTTTATATCAGTGTTGTGTTGCTGTTGTCTTCATTTGTTGTTGCCTGCCCTGTTGATTCTCATTTCCTGCATTTATTCCCTTTCCAGGTACTCATTTGGTCTCATACAACTTGTGAAGACTCAACGTAGGATTGATGTAGCAGATTAAATGATGATATGTTATTGAATCTGATCTCTGAAATTTCCTGTTCCTTGTTTAGTTTAAAGGCATAGAGTAGTTTTGTTTATTTGACAATATATTGACTTGTAATTAATTAGACTGCTGGACCTTTTATAATTGCATGAATGTTCTGCCAGTAACACCAGTTTAGTATTGATTTGTAGATAATTGGATCATTGGACCTTTAGAATTGTATGAATGTGTTGTCAAGTAGCGTTAGTTTAGAATTGTATGAATGTGTTCTGCCAGTAACACATGTATTAAATTTTCATGTTAGTTTGAACTCGTCTTGTAGCTTAAAAAGAAAAGGGCTGATTATGTCATTTTGTTCATCGTATACCTGTTAAAATTGCAACTCACAGGGTTTCATTTATGTTTTACAAATCGTAAAACAATAGGATATTTTACACATTGCTGTATGTCAATTTGGAGGTTCACAAACTCAATTTGATAGCCATGGATAAAATGAGCACATTAATGAATTTCAGCACTTGTTCCTAATGTCCAGATCATTGCTGAGCTTGTTTAAGATGTATAATTTTGAAATTAACTAGCTGTTAGATCCCAGATTAATCATATTTGTTAGCTAATGACTGTTTGCGTGGTAGTACTTGATTTAAATAAGTGATACATTTGTTTTACAAAGTAGTTAACAGGCCTAGAAGCCGACTTCATGGGCTCGATAATGAGCCAAGGCAACAAGGCCCTTATGTTTAAATGATAACTGGGCCTAATGTCATACTAAGAAGCCCAAAGCTGGTCCAGTTTCAGCATAAGCTGGATTTTCCCTCTTCTTGGGCCAAACTTCCAAGGCCCAAAACCGTTGGAAACTAAAAATCCATTAAAGTTAGATTAGGAATATGGGGATTAATTTGCGATATAAATTTAGGTTTTCGAGTTAGGTAGCGGGTTCAAATTAAGAGGGTCCTCCCTTTTGTTTGAATTCGGACTTGAACTCGAGGCCCGAATTTATAAATGCAAATTAATTAAGCCATTTTTAGAGACAAAAAATAAATAGAAAATCATAATTTGCTTTAGGCTGGCCTTTAAATAAAAGTGAGATGAGCCTCGCCAAACAAAAATGCATAAATTGCGGGGCCCTCATTAAATGCTTATATCAAAATACTTAGAATTCGGGACGTGCAATTTAGCAAATATCACGGCCTCCCGCAAAGATAATAACCCGTTAGTCGCTTTAGGCGCATTTTTAATAATTCTACCTTCTTAAATACGGGTGTGCATCAACCCAAATCCAAGTCCCAAAACGTTGAATAAGAATGTGTCGAGGATCCGGGTGCATTTCATGTGACGTGATCCGAGAACATATTCTTAAACGACGTTCACTTTCCTAAAAATTAATTAAAAGCGGTAAACAATTCTAAAATTGCAATATAGGATGACATGTATTAAAATCAGATTGTTAGCCAATTATAATAATTTAAGCGACCGTGCTAGAACCACGGGATCCGGGGGTGCCTAACACCTTCCCTCGGGTCAACAGAATTCCTTATTCAGAATTTCTGGTTCGCAGACTCCAATTGGGAAGTCGAAATTTTCCTCGATTTGGTATTTAAGGTAAACCGGTGACTTGGGACACCAAAAGCCGATCCCATCTCAAGTGGCGACTCTAAAAGATAAATAAATAATCCCATTTCGAATAATGTCACTTTAAATAGAAAAACTCCCTTATACATTTATCCTTCGGGGTAGGTGTGTAAAAAAGGCGGTGTGACAGCTCTGGCGACTCTGCTGGGGAAACGT